GAATAGAGGGCATTTAAATGTTGAACGTAAGTTGAAACGTCGTCTTCCTGGCAGCTTGTCTGTGACAAATTGGGGAACTGAGAAAATTCGCCCCGTCCAATATTTTGCTTCATTAGTTTAACTCTGGCAAGAAACGCTGATAAGATGGACTTTGTTTTAATCAAATTTAAGCTGTCGCCTTGTAATTGCAAATTAACCATATTAAATTTTGTAAACAAATCTGTTAAATATCTGTTTTCCTCTTCATTAAAATTTCTTTTATAATTTTATCTTTAGTATCCAGAAATTCTAAAATAGTCTCAAAAGTGCAAAAAATCTTGTCAAACATAAGCCTTTTGACAGCCAGCGTACTTCAGTGTGAAGGAGTAATTGATGAAAGTGTTCACAACTGCGCAAATAACCGCGTATTCAACGCGTTGCTTCGGATTCGGTTTACTGCATCAATGACTAAATGAAGTGATTCATGCAATCTAACACTCAAATTTTTAGCAACTAAATGTTGTCGATGGATGATGCAATGTATTGCTAACACCCCTGACACATTTTGTTTTAAATAGCTTATAAATCCACGATAACGTCCAACCATGGCAGGTGCTCCATCTGTAGCTACTGATATTATATTTGATAAAGGAATTGCTTTTTCAATGAAGTAATCCTTCAAAACATGAAATATTGATTCACCTTTAGTGTCGGTTATCAAAGTTCTTGCGAAGAGCAGTTCTTCGTAGATTTCTTGATTCATAATAAAACGAACATATGCCAATAATAATGCTGCATTATCAGGTAAAGTTGACTCGTCCAGTTGTATAGAGAAATGGGTCGTTTGCAAATAATTACATAAGAAGCTTTCAATATCAGAACTCATTTCATCAATACGTCTTTCAACAGTATTGTTACTTAAGGGAATTCTTTTAATGATATCAGATGCAGGTTTGTGTAAAACAGTTTTTAAAACCTCTTCAACGGCTGGCAAAATTAACTTCTCTCCGATGGTCTGCGGTTTTCCGGATTTTGCTATAAGTAACGAGATATTGTAAGACGGCCGCAAACCATCGTCATTTCTTTGTGACGTCGAAGCGAACATTCTGTCCAGTGTAGGTCTCTTCTGAAATTTATCTTTGAGGGTTTGAAAGTATTTCAAATCTTTCTCCGTTTTAGCAGGGTGGCATTTTCTCAGATGATCTTGCAGTTTAGATGGTTTCATAGCGTCATTGCCCAAAACTTTGTTGCATAAAAGGTACACAGGCGATTGTTTGTCCGGCAATGATGGAATGAAGCCAAATTTCAAATAATCAACACTGTACTGTCTACATTTCTTTTTAGATTCGGACATGGCATCAATCATCTGTAGGTAAAAATTAAATTATTTAAATAAGACAGAAAATCCAGTAGCTGTATATTAAAAATATTTTTTCATTTATCCGAAAACATTCCATAATTCGAACATCTTCTTGCAACAATTAGCTCGAATTACGGAGATTGCACTGTAATTATATTACCGATTGCTGAAACTTTCAAAAAGAAACTATTGAGGAGTACTCGTGTTATTTCGCATGATTGAATATTTAACTACTAATAACTAAAGTCGTGATTGGCGTAATTTATCTATCTTTGCTAACTACGAGTACAAAACTAAAATTTAATAAAAAATAATGTACTTACTTTTCTCCAGCACTCTCAAACAAAATAACACTGACTCACTATAATTTGTGTGATATACTGTTTATATTTTTTAAAATATTTTCTTAGCACTTTCCTTTTCAAGATTCAGGAAACGAATAAACGTATTTGTCCCACATTCGTATTTATAGAGTGACGCATTGAACAAGTCAGTGCAAGGTAGCGAAGCTCTGAGACTGCGACTCTCAGGTTTTACAAGTTCAAAATGTATTAGGACCACAAAGCGAATACCAACATCCTACAGCTTACACAATTTTATAAACATATATAATAAATTTTTTACTTCATAGGTACTTTTATAAATAATGTATATGTTTTGAAATTATAAGATAGTATGATGTAAGTAAATAGGTACTATCAGTGTATGTGTTGAGATCCACTATCGTGGACCCCCATATTCATTTCATGGACCCCCAAATTTTTTTTCGCTGACGTAGACCCCTTGCAGGTTGTCATAGATCCCTAGGGGTCGATATAGACCACTTTGGGAATCAATGTTCTAAGCTAAACCTTTGCATCCCTGTGATAAAGTTCTACAAAAGACACATTTTCGGAAGTCTGTGTAACCACAATTTTTCACACATTTCTTGCCTGTTTGGCATCATAGCTAAAACATATACATTATTTCTGCTTCTTCTCATTGGATTGTACAAGAAAAATGTGCCCAAGCCCTCGAATACCGTTCGGCTGCTACGAGGTACGGGAGTTCATTCAAGCGAAACACGTTTTACCAAAGATACTAACTCTATTCGTAGGCCATTTACGCCCTGGCACAACAAAGATGTAGCGCGGCAAAGTGGAAGCCGCCTAAGCGTTGCAATAGCTATTGGTCATTTGGCCATAAAACTACGAACAAGTGCAGGATTCGACATGATAGAAATCAGATTCGGGTTATCGCCGGCACGCCGACGTCGGCAGTTGCTGTTCATATAGATGCATACAAGGCATGTGTTTATACGTTAGCATGTCATCTACGGATACAGCAAATGAATATTTCTCCCAACGCGTCCTTCAGCCATGCTTCCTCTTCAGTGATGAATCCTGCCCGAAAACGTGACAAGAAGGACATTTCAATATCCAGACAAAAGAAGTTGTCCGTTTATAAGAGCGAAATTTTAGAGCATCCTGAAATGAAAATTCATGATATTGAAAGACATGTGGCGAACAAATCAGGTTTATGTCCTAAGACAATTTTCAAAATTATTAAAGAATATAAAAAACAACAAAAAATTGTCTTTGATCTGAATGCCATTAGACGCAAAGTCCATCAGTTTTTTTAAAGGCAGGAACTTCCCACCATAGATAAAGCATTACAGGGGGTTAATAGTGATAAAGATTTACCTACTTTCAGAAGCACCGCTTATAGTTTACTCCAAGAACTTCTTGTTGAGTATAGAAAACGGGGCAGAAATTGTATTTTGTTGGACAGCCAAGAGATTATTTTATGGAGAAGAAATTCTTTAAAATCAATAAAATACCGCGAGCACGGCAGGATGATTTATTACCTGGATGAAACCTGGATAAATGCAGGACATACAAAACCTAAAGTATGGGCTGACTTAAATCAGCAAGACAAGCCTACTTAGATGGACTAACCACTGGCCTAAAAATGGTATCAAATAGACCGAATCTATGAGCCCACTATGAAAGCTAGCTAAAATAAACTTAGCTATATCTGGTAGATTTTTAACCAACACCTGTTAGATACTCTGCTTGTATTATTATTAGTTTTCTTGAATACTATAGGAAATAATTATTCCCAGGAGAAGCAAAAAGGTTTGTTATCTGTCACATTGGCTTTGTGCCCACCGCCTCATGGGCATTTCAGTCAATGAAAACGACCGACTACTATGAAGAAATGGATGGAAGATCATTTAAACGATGGTTTGCAGAAACGCTCCTAAAGCTTGACGACAATGCTGTCATTGAACTTGCTAATGCTGCATACCACACTAGAAAACTAGAAAAAAATTCCACAATGTCCACAAGAAAGGCAAAAATTCAACAATGGCTCCTATCAAAAGACAGTAGTTTCATTGGCTAAAAACCAAAATAAGACCGTTTTGCGGCTACCCCGTGATCACTGCGAATTAAATCCGTTTGAAATGATTTGGGCAACTATAAAAAACTATGTGGCTTCAACCAATAGAACATTCAAATTTTCTGACGCGTAAATTTGTTTTATGAAGCTGTCAATAGAGTGATGGCAAATCATTGGAAAGATTGCATCCGTCACGTTCAAGAGACAATCTAAACAAAGATGTGGGATCTGGACAATATGATCGATATTCAAACCATTCAGACGATGATTCAAGTACCTCCAGCAAAGAAAGGATTGTTAAAAGTATTTGCAATTCTTTCTATAAAAATAATCATTTATTTTGTTATATTATTCCAAGACCATTGGGGAAAATACGGACTCGTACAATCCCGTTTTTGGGCATGTTGTGTTTTGTCTGGGAGTAAATGGACTACGAATGGGGTATAACAGTTTATCTAGATTTCCCCTGTTACAATGTAATCGTGTTTTCTGTGTCTAACGGTACTCGTCTATTCCAGCAGCAGAGAAATATAAATATGTAAAACTATACTTCCGTGTTACTTTTCTTTTTCTTGATATATGCGCAGCTTGAATTTGAACAAATATGACAAACGTACAAGTTAAAGATTCGTCTATTACTTTATTAGCACGCAATCCAACACCACTTTTCGGATTCCAGTTCTACTTCAAAATACAGATATCCTATTTTCAACCTGGTGTTCCAGATACAGTAAAGGGAAATATACTCGTATATACACTACCACTCAAAAGTTTTGGGTCAGTAGATTTTTTGAGGGAAATCAAACCAAATCAAACCATAGAGTGTCTTCAATCAAAAAAACAAGGAAATATTTTCCACTGAAACATAATTAGTTGGTAACTTATTTCTATCAAAATTTACTTTAAATTCGTGATTCATCGAAATGTCCACCATGAGCCCGAATAACTTCTTGCTGCTTATCCAAATAATTGCGGCATAGTCGAGATGAGTGCTTAGGGTCGTTGTCTTGCTGAAATTTCTAAATTGTTCCCAACAATCCTTTGTCCTGAGGAAACAGTATGGTTTGCCAATATCTCCAAATATTGTTCTTCGCATTATACCCTCAATACGAACCAAATCTCCTGTTTGATTGCCAGCAAATCATCCCCAAGCCATTACGCTCCCACCTCCAAGCTTAACAGTGGGCTGCAAACAATGCGCAGTCATGCATTCATGGGGTTGGCGGCATACAAACTGTCGTCGTCGAGATCCGAACATTTCAAATGTGGATTCATCCAACTAAAGGACTCGATTCCAATCGTCAATGTTACAATCCTTGTGTTTTTGGGCCCATGCTAACCGGTTGCGTTTGTGTATAGGTCGCAGTAGTGGTTTGCGTGTTGCTACACATCCTCTAAGGTTAGCCCTTTGTAAGCGGCGTTTTAACGTAGACACGGACACAGGGTTTTCCCTCGTTCTATTCAAGCTGTGGGTGAGTTCAGGTGAAGTTAAATGTCTATTACGCTTACTTGTTATTACTATAAGCCTATCCTCAGGAACAGTAGTAACTCTGCGTCTTCTATTGCGTGGACAATCTACGACACTGGCTGTTTCTCTCTTTTTCTTCAAAATTTGAGACACCGTGTTCCGTCCTATATGCAGCGTTTCAGCAATCGCTCTAATTGGCAATCCCTCATCACGTAAGGTACACACTGCATCCCGTTTCTCAAGAGAAACGTTACCCGTCTTTACCATTTTCGGTTATTTTGAAAAAATTGACCCTAGCACATCGACTAGTTGTTTATAGTAAACTACGTAAAATTTTTACTCTGTTTAATCGATACCCAGATTGTTTATGTATTATATTAAGCCGAACATAATACATAGTACAAAAAAAAGCAAATAGCGGCATGAATTTGGCCGATTTATGACTGCAATGAACAAATAAAAATATCGGCGTCTCTAAAGATGTTTACATTTATTCTCTTTTAAGGGGTGTTCCACTGATTCGTATACATCTTTAGCTTGAATAGTAATATTATAGATGGTAATAGTCAATCAGTGTAATATATGCCTTATTTATGTTAAGTTTTCTTAAAAAAAGTTACTGAACCAAAATATTTGAGCGGTAGTGTATATACAGTGTATATACTGTGTGTATATATATATATATGTGGTAAATTGGCACAATTTTAGGCTTTAGTAAACTCTTTTAACAGTAATCTCGAGCTTTCGGCATTCTCTATGGAGCCATCTTCAGGAGCTGAAAACACAATTATGATGCTAGCAACCAATACGGGAAGGATTTAAATTGTCAGACAACTTACTCGTCATTGAGGTTGCAGCCAAATGGTGTTACAAAACGAACCATCTTCAGGTGTTAACACTAACGATGGTTTCCGTCATTATCAATAAGCCCAATGTGTCCGTCCGTTTGGTTTTATATTTGTAACAAGTGCTCTCATCCACGCGTTCGTTAATTGTATTTTTTGTCCAACTGGTCGTTGGCAATGGCAATGATTACTCCTCGTATATATATATATAGAGAGAGAAAATGATCATGCGGAGGAAGGTATATAACAAAAAAATAGGAAATTAATGGACAAAATCCGCAAAAAGAAGGAAAGTGGATTCCAGCAGAAAATAGGATCGGTAACCCGAGCGATACGTATTTCTGCTAGTACACGGCATGAATCATCACTTCGTACTTATGTTTCACAGTATAAAAAATTTAAAAAAAAAATATTTTTGTTGGATGTTTTTCTTCTTCATTACTGAATATAGCTTTCAACAACAAACGTGCACATGGACAGATTGCATACGTATGTGTGGCGGAGATGAATGTATGAATGTACTACTGGTAGGTTTTACGGCGGCCTGCCATAACCGTGAAAAACCGATACCTCTTCTTAAGGTAACAGCACTGGATTCATACCTCAGTTGCCCGTTTACACTCAACTTGGTTCAATCTTCTTAAATATTTTAAACTTCATATCTGATATAATTTTTTTTCATTACAGGTAACGATTGGTAGACAAACATTGAGTGAGGTAAGCAGTGAACGTAATAAAGGTTGATAATGAAGTGACATTTTGTCAACAAAAGTTGCAAATGCGAACGAGTCTAGATACTTTTCAGGGTTATAGACGACCTTTTAAACTAGATGTTTTTCTGAGGTTTTTGTGCTATACCTTCAACCATCAAAGTCAAAAATATTTAAACACCAATGAGTCCACTCACAAACATCTTCTATAAATTAATCGGCTTGGTAGAAAGACGTTTGGGCTCCCTTACTAGCCTAATCTGATTAAGTTTTTAGGTGCCAAAATTTAAAGACGGAAGCGAGAATATAATAATAATAATAATAATAATAATAATAATAATAATAATAATATCGTCTTTATTTACAAAGATACAGAGTGCGATTCATTATGGCGAAGTTTAGCTAAAGCTACTCTTACAAACCATATGAATACGGAAAAAAAAGATGGTATAGGAGAGACAAAAAAAATAAGGTTTGGCTATTACAATGTCATAATAGTATTGAAAGCAGTTCAATCAAACAAGCAACTAATTTAAATATATTATTAACAAAAATTAGACAAAGAAGAAACATTATAATGTAGAGCTTTGTAAAAATAGCCTAACATGCTTACGGAAACAAGACAGATTCATGGTTTTGTAATCATCAGGAATATTAGTGTAGCGACCAGCAGCATTATAGGAAAATGAGCGTTGGAAAAGCGAGGTGACGTAATGTGGTATTCTAATATTTAATGTATATCTAAGAGTTTTGTTATGTATTTCATTAGAAAAAATAAGTTTTTCTCTTAGATATTTGGGTTTACCAGATGCGAGCAGCATACGCAGGAAGACCAAATAATGAAAATTTGTCAAACACTCGAGCTTCATCCATCCAATACTGTTGTGAGCATGGCTAACATGGTCGTCTTTTCTTAAACTACATGTGAATCTGAGGCAGTTGTTTTGAATCACTTGTAAACGTCTTTCAGTGAGCTGATCCAAGCAAGGCTGGTAAAGAATATTGCAATAATTGATAATTGGAAGAATAAGGGATTCAGCAAGTTTTTTTCGCAAAGCAGAAGGCAGAACACGTCTATTTGCATATAAAACACGTAATTTCCAATAGGATTTTTGTAATATGCTAGAAACATGATTTTTGAATATTAAATTAATATCTAAAATGACACCAAATATTTTAGACTCATTACTAAATTCTACTCTATTTGATCCCATTTTGGGATGAAATGTTTGGAGGATGCGCTCACGTTTAGTATTAGAGCAGAATAATATGATTTTCGATTTAGAGGAATTTATCATCAAATTGTGCTTCACAGAATAGCTATAAACTACATCAATATCCTCTTGTAACGCGAGGGCTGCAACCACGTCAAAGTAAATACTGGCTTATACAGGGTGACTTCGAAGTTGAGTCATTTATTTTAACAGTGAGTAGATCTGATCAAAAGAAATGTTTTTTTCCTTTAACATTTTTGTGGTAAAATTAAAGTAACAAAGTTATAGCCCTTTAGAAGTTTGAGTACCGCCCTGTCTCAATAATAATATTATGTGCTCGTGTTTGGCGACAACGGATATACTCCGCCTCATCGGTTCATCGCATCGGAAACAAAAAAGCGAAAGAATTTGGAACGATGTTTTTACAATTATTTTATTCAGTTCAGTTATACATACAGTCAGTGTCAGTCGGTTACGCGTGTGAATAGTGTCTGTTGCGTGGCTCAAACGAAATAAAAAATGGCACATGTTTATGCGGATCGGTTTCCCAATCGAGTGCAACCAACCCCTCGTGCCTTTGTTAATGTAGTACAACGGGCTCGTGAATCAGGTGACTTAAGACCTCACAGGGGACCTCACGATCAAATACAGGTCCGCACTGAAATACTTGTCGGGAGGATACTTTATAAAACAAGGTAAACATTTTTTTTTAATTTTTTTTTTATTTTTACACACATATTTTGGTTTATCTTCCTTCTACAATCATTATCTGAAAATTAATGACTCAACTTCAAAGTCACCCTGTATATTAGGAACAACAAGGATCCCAAAACAGATCCTTGTGGATATGATATTGGTAGAGTTAGAAAAAGTATTATTAATGACAACAGATTGGGACCGATTAGCTAAGCATTCCGTGAAAAACGATATAGATATATTATCAAAACCTAAATACTCCAATTTAGCAAGAAGCAGCTGATGACTCAGTTTGTCGAATCCTTTAGACTTTAGAGTAATCGATCGAGACCAAAATAGAGGCAATATGGGAAAATAAGATTGAAATCATTTGACTCAAGTACACTGTAATCATTGATTTAACGTATTGTACCTGAAAATACTATCCGAGATAAAATTATCTATAACAATTTGGTGTTGCTGTATCTTGGTGTAAAAAATTACCAAGCTAGAGATGAATCGTGATACGTGCCCCTCCCTAGGCGTATCCCAACCCCCCCCCAAAAATTTTGAAATCGTCATAAGGAACTCACAACTTTTTAACGTATTTTGTGCACGACGATAGAACCATTACGTAAACTGCTAAGCGTATGAAGAAAATTAAAAAATTTCGTCAAGTGGCTTGACTCTGTACTTCCTACCAACGCTGTCATTACTCATAAAGAAATCGTGTACGATATAAGTCGACTACGAAATTATGTAACAAAGGAATTAAATTGATAATTTGGTCAAATAGGCCCGTACGATTAGTCCCCATTGACAATATTGTGATTTAGGACCAACTAGCGGCAAGCCTCGGCTTTGCATACGTAACTGTCGTGCAGTTGAGTCGCGCATATGAGTTAGATTAAGCTGTAACTGATGTTCATCCAACGTGAATCATGTTTTATCTGCTTGACTTCCGATCTTGTAACTGTTTAAAAATATAAACAATAAATAAATAAATATATCGTCAGCTTAATGCAAAAATGAGATAACTTTAATTGTCTACTATTTGAGTTGAGTACATTTTTGCATTTGAATACAATTTTCAAGCTACTATAACTATTTTCTGACACGTAAATGCGAATTACTAGAAACTTGGGGGGAGGATATATAACCCGATAATATACACATACTTCTTTGTATAGAGACTACTGGATTGTGTATAAAACATGTTGCTTGTAATTGGACCAGATGCTGTATACAGGGTGACTTTGAAGTTGAGTCATTAATTTTCAGATAATGATTGTAGAGGGAAGATAAACCAAAATATGTGTGTAAAAATAAAAAAAATGTTTTACCTTGTTTTATAAAGTATCCTCCCGACAAGTATTTCAGTGCGGACCTGTATTTGATCGTGAGGTCTTGGAGCACCGGCATGCAGTCCCCTGTGGGGTCTTAAGTCACCTGATTCACGAGCCCGTTGTACTACTTTAACAAAGGCACGAGGGGTTGGTTGCACTCGATTGGGAAACCGATCCGCATAAATATGTGCCATTTTTTATTTCGTTTGAGCCACGCAGCAAACACCACTATTCACTCACGCGTTACCGACTGACACAGACTGAATAAAAACATCGTGATCAGCGTTTCAAATTCTTTCGCTTTTTTGTTTCCGATGCGATGAACCGATGAGGCGGAGTATATTCGTTGTCGCCAAACACGAGCACATAATATTATTATTGAGACAGGGCGGTACTCAAACTTCTAAAGGGCTATAACTTTGTTACTTTAATTTTACCACAAAAATGTTAAAGGAAAAAAACATTTCTTTTGATCAG